TACCTTTCGGATAAAAAATGAATTATCAAAATCGGTCCACTAGCGGCGGAGTTATGCCGTAACACACATAAAAAAAAAATAAAAAAAAAAATAAAAAAAACATACAGACGAATTGAGTACCTCCTTCTTTTGGGAAGTCGGTCAATAAGAAAGATTTATGAAAATTAGTGACAGGTGGCAAAAGGAGGCTCAGCTTAACCGATACTGGTTGAAATCCAGTGTCGAGCTGGTTTTCAGCCACCCCCTCCCCCTTTCATTGTTGATGTTATTGTCAATTTTATTTTTTTTAACTTTTATAACCTCAATTCATATACGTTAGGGGCTTATTTTCTTTCATTGTCCAACGTATCTTCATTTTTCTGTCTAAATATTCTATCAGCATAACGAATTTTTCTATGTATCGTTGGCTAGTTCCTTGTCTTCAAAGATTCTTGGAAATAAAAACATGGCAATGTTTTAAAAGTAAGGTTATAATTATTCTCTTCGTATTATTAACTTTGTTTTGTTTGCGGGGAAATGATTGTAATAATATACATCAGAAGTTTGGTTTTGATTAAAATTCATTTCTCGTTTACGCTGTTAATTTAAACGTGGTAGTTCCATTCAGTACTACATGGGTAAGACCATATGTTACATTATTCCAATTTAAAAACAAGAAACAAAAGAAAATTTTATTTTCGTAGATTTAGAGCAGTTACCTTTGACTAAACTATTGCATAACTGCTGTGCGATTGTCGATTGTTTCGCAGCCAATTCAACTGTTTAGTTGCACACCTAAAAGTCGAGTAGTGTATATAAGTTCATAGGAATCAAAGCGCTACTAAACAGTTGTGTGATATTTTAGTCAAAGGTGTTGCCTAAATTGCTGCTTATTAGACCTCTTGATAACTTGATTCAATGATATTACCCTAGGCAACATAGCATTGATTTGTTTTAAAGATAATCTGTGGAGATTCTAATTAGGTTATGTGCTTTTGTCCGCGACTTCGTTCTCAGGAAATTACACAAAAAGTAGCTAATATATTTTGTGTGACAATATGCAATACGTGAGCCGAAAAGTATACATTTAGTGTACGAATTTAGGAACAGAAATATGTCTTGATTGCCTTTAAGTTAGCTTCTCTATAGATCATGGGTTTCTACTTACTGTCTTTGCAGGTAAGATTTCCAAATTAACAGCTTTAAATGTCGCTGCATGTGCAGATGTCGACGTTTTTTCGAATCTAGTACAAAAGTCATAAGGAGGAATTAATTCTATCTAGCTTTTTATAATTATAATTTCTAGTAATAAAAGTAACTGAAAGACATTACATTTGTCATTTAATGTCATCGTTACTTCAACGTCATTGATTTACTTTTAAAAATACTAAAAAGTTTTTACTAAAATAGATTTTTCAATTCGGTTTTTTTTGGTGCAGTAATATCTCAACGCCCAAACAAAGGACATTATGTATTGGGAAGTCTGATGTCTAAGAGCAGTTCTAAATATAGCGAGGGCCTAAGAAAATAGTTTTAATATACTTAAAGGTTATTTTATAGTAGTAATGTAATTTGACGTTGTTTTCGTGATGACAAATGGAAGAATATCTCGAATAGTAAATATTCAGTGTGCACGTATAGTACAAGGAATTTTAGTCTTCGACAATTTAAACAAACTAAATTAGAGAAAAGTTTACACTAACAATCTTACTAATATTATAAATGCGAAAATTTAGATGGATGGATGGATAGATTGATGGATGGATAGATGGATGTTTGTTAGGGTTTGTAGCCTAAACGGCTGAACGGATCTCCATGAAATTTGGCACAGGTTTAGAACATAGTCTGGAAGAACACATAGGCTACTTTTTATCCCGGGAATAGTTACGGTTCATGTGGGATTCATTATTTTAGTTTTTTAATGATTACTCGATCATTCTGTAACGGTTCAACATATCCTTTTGAAATTTGGCACAGATATAAAACAAAGTCTGGAGTACACATGGGATGATGTTCATCGCCGAGAAATGTCCGATTCCCGAGGGATATGCAGCTTTTTGTTATTTATGTAGTTCCTATGTTTTCTAATACCACGCGGACGAAGTCGCGGGCAACAGCTCGTGTCTTAATAATTTTTAGGTTAAATAATACTAAGTACCTACAGAAGTCTTATCAAATGTAATAAACATTTTTTAAAAAAAACCATAAAAAATAAGTGTATCTACCTATACGACGTAAAATTCAATCAAAACCACTGTTTCGTGAGTCAATGTTAAAAGCAAATATTGTTACTTAGGTAATCCCCTAAACCAAAAGTTACGCATAGAGTAGGCTACATTTACTTATATTTTTAATACAGTAAACAGTACACAATAAAAAAATGTTTTGTTTGTTGTTTACCTTAAACGCACTGACAGTAGATAAAAAGGCCGTGACGTCACGTCAATGAGAAGCGGAATTCATGTGGAATAATCGATCTGTTTCCAGAATGTTCTATCGCAGTTACATCTAATGGCGAATAGGGAAAATGACATTCGTCGAATAGTCGAGCTAATTCCAGAAGGCTCTCTCGCAACGCCATCTATAGACGAGTAATTGAAAAGACATTTGCGAAAAGATGTCTGGAATATTCGATGCGGCATCAATAATGAAAATGTATGTGATTCGAACAATCGAGAATGTTCTGGAACAAAATGACAAACGAATAATGAAAAGAAGATTGAAATTCGGGCTACATAAGGGCGAAGTGTTTCAACTCTATTCCCATGCTCTTAACGATAGCTTAGCTTATCAACTTGTAATAGAGAAAATCAACAAATTTAATGAAACTAACATTTTTATTAATATACCTCTTATCCTACGTCTCCGACGAAAGCGTCCATAATGCGCATCCATCTCGCTCTATTCTAATTTCTAATTTAAAAGTAAATATGAACTCACAATGATACCTCTACAAGTTAGGTGGTCTGTGTTTTCCGTGAAAAGCGTAAATTGTGCTAATTATATCGCCAAAATTGGAACTGGGCAGTTTTGTTGTTATGTATAAAACGAAATCGAATTCGCCATAGCATTATTACAACTGTGCTTCAAGATTCAAGATGGTTCTGAGAATTTATTTTTTGGGAATTATACTATTCGCTTCCTTCATTAAAATTTATGCAGGTACGAATCAGAATAACATTTTATTCATCTCATAATATTCCTTTTGTTTCTCAAATTGAAGTTAAGACAAACTTGAACCCTAATATAATACATATATGGATTAAGTTTTAATGTTGATGTTGACTTAATATTTTTTCTTTCTACTAACAAACGTTAAGACCTGATCGTGTGTACCTAGCTTTAGGTTTCCATGCTGTTATTATTTTTTTCAGGAACCAGAGTAGTAAGATCACCTCAGTTTAGTGAAGCGAACGCTCAAGCGCAGTCATTTGGCTTTGGTGGTGACCAGTACGGTTCTCGACCTTATTACCACCATCATCATCACAGACCTGAGTTCGGTTATGGTGGGGATAGAGGCTTCGGCGGTGGCTACGGAGGTGCTGGTTTCGGAGGTGGTGGTTTCGGAGGAAGAGGTTTCGGTGGTGGTTACGGCGGTCGGCCCGGATTTGGAGGTCCACCCGGTGGGTTCGGAGGCCCTGGATATGGATACGGAGGTGGACAGATACCTCAAGGATCGATCAGTATATCCAAAAGCGTCAGTATTAATTCCGGTCCTGGGGGTGGTGAGGCGCAGTCCAGCGCTAACTCCGGTGGTTACGGAAAATAATATTATGTAGAATTAAGTACAGATTACATATTTATTTTTCAATTAAAATGTCATTGATATTCTGCAAATGTTTTTAAAAACATTACCATCATATCACGTACTCATCTTGGAATTCCGTAAAACCAATTCCTTTCCACCGAAAAACAACCAGAAGAAGTTTGTTAATTTTTTTGGTCTTATAAATATTAACGAAGTTATGTGTTGGATTTGACGTAAATTGGTGCAATTGCACTTCTAATGGAAAAAATGTTTATAACTAATAAATGTTTAGAATGTTCTGTTGATGTGTCTTTTAATATTTATTTTCCTAATTGTACAAAACGACACTGCAATAGGTTTAGTGCAAATAAGACCTTATGATTCGCGGAATTTACAAATGTCAATGTCTGAGGTCAATTTAGAGATATGGACATATTACGATGGAGTTATTCGAAGAAACATACATACATTCGTGTGATTTTAATATTAGAGTTAAAATGTGAAGGTCCTGTTTCCCTAGAAAAGAAGACCAACAAAGAGTTAATTCTCAAAGACCAACATTATTCAACGTAAGACTTAAATACGGGACTTGTGTTTTGACTAGGAATTCGAACTTATCTAGATAATTATAAAAGCTGATAATAAAATTGTAGGCGTATACTATAGCGTACAATACTAGCTTTTGTCCGCGACACCGTACGCGAAATTAAAAAGATACTTATCTGTTCTTCCACACTATGTTCTATGTACATCTGTGCCAAATCATCGAGGTGACCCGATCTGGTCATTTTAATAAATATTCATCCTTTTTTCTATCCATTTAAACTTTCGTATTGATGTTATTAGTAAGATTACCACTAAAAATGGGTCTGTCCGACCACTGGCAGATAGAGGCTTAGATAGCTTACAAATGACGTCACTGTCGGATAAGGTACCAAAATCCGATATTTCCATCGCACATATTATCCAACATGGATTGACAGACAATTTACAATTTAGTGGGACAGGGCCATTAAAGTTATAATTTTTTATTACTTTGATGAATAGAAGTGTTAATTAGAACAAAGTTATTGACTCTTCTGTCTGTTTATTGACACTTTATTAGGGGATTTTTGCGTGATGGTACAGAATTAGATGTTTTCCTTTGCAATTTGTCAATATTTATCAATTTTTTGATTTATAACATACGACATAAGGTTCAAAATGGGCCAACTTCTAACTGATATACAAGATTTCGGTGTAGTATTTGTATTGTAATGTTTGTATGGGAATTTAGTGTTTACTTGAGTGGTATAAATTGACTTTGAAGATTGTAATCGACTATTGAGGTTTGATATTTCGAGTGTTCAGGATGTTGCTGAAATTTCTCGTTCTCTTGGTTCTGGCGGCGTGCTTGTTACAAGTTGAAGCTGGTATGTAATCATTTAGTTACACTAAGCTGACGTAATAGAGCGGATAATTTGAGGAGTAGTTTGTGCAGGAGACCTAATTTTAGTCCCCTTATTCTTACCATCCTTTTATTGTAAAGAACGGATAGGAAACGAAGCAGGTTTGATGGAAATAGGGGCGCACAGGAATGGAAAATGTTCTCTTTCTGTGTATCCAGTTCACCGTTGATTAAAGAACAATGCATGTAATTTTGCTGATGTCTATAGGCAGTTGTCGCATCGCCATTTCGACGATTACAGGCCGCTTGCTCGTTTTCTACTTTATGGTTTTAAAAATCAGTCTAAAAGATGTATATAAGTCCTCCTCTGTAAGTCTGCTGCCTGATATAGTGTTAAAAATGCTTTGTTAATTTGTATTTATTTCCAGGAACCCGAATAATCCGTTCCCCTCAATTCGGATCCGCCAGTCAAGCTAGTGCGAAAGCTAGTGCTGGTGGATTTGGTCAACCGGGACAATTTGGACCAGGATTCGGAAGGCCAGGGTTTGGTAGACCAGGTTTCGGTGGTCCTGCGATTGGAAAACCGAGATTCAGTGGTCCTGGTTTCGGCGGTCCTAGTTTTGGTGCTAGGCCGGGATCTGGAACGAATATCAGCATTTCGAAGAGTGTCAGTATAAGCACTGGGAATGGTGGAGTGGCTAGATCCAACGCACAGTCCGCTTCTTCTGGTTAAAGATATTAAAAGACTTTTGAATGTTTGTTCGATATGATACCTAAAATGTAAATCTCCCACTGTCTTGTGTTAAATTAATAAAATTATATTAAATTGCATCTGTTGTCTACCTATCATTTATCTACCTTTAAATTAGAAAACATAAACAAAAAATAATTATTCCGTACTTACTGAAACAAAATTCTTACTAACTGTTGTTGAAATTAAAAAAATTAAAAAATAACTATGTTATTTACAGATAAATTACCTTTCTAATGATGAAAGAAATTTTAAAATCGGCCCAGCCGTTTTTGAGTTATTGCAATACATACAAAAACGTAAATCTTTCCTCTTTATAATATTTGGTATAATCAGCTCTGAATTATGTGGATTGATAAAATGTATGTTTTGCAAATTTAAAGTGGTAGTAGTTAGTAAAAAAATTGCAGCAGTTAAAATATACAATGCACAAAATTGTATTACCATAGATAATACAATAAGTATTACTGATAAATCTGAAGGTTAAATTATGGACAATTAGAGTTAGAATTCAACTTAGTGCACGACGAGACTTCGTTGGATGCGAAAGGCGGAGGACCGTATTCTGTGGATGACATTGGGGAAGGCCTATGTCCAGCAGTGGGTAGATAAAAGGTGATGATGATGATAATGATATGTAGATTTGATCACATAGTTTTAATAAGGTAAGTAAGCTCAGTAAAACCCATAGCTCTAGATGCAATGAAATATAATGTAGTAAAATTTTAAGTACAAGTTTCGATTACTAATCTAAATTGTTTTCCTTATAAACAAAAAATAAATATTTAACTAGTCTTATTTATAACATACATTTGTAACAAAATTAAAATATACAATTTTTAAATTCTAGGAAGAATCAAGAATAGATATTTCAGAGAAATATTCATGAGCTTACCTCGTTTTGTCAATGTTACTACTTGACAAATAACGATAAAGTGCACAAATCTTTGCCTTAACACAATGAAACAATACTGTACGTTATTCCACATATTTATATAGAACGGTAGTTTTGTTGTATTTAAGTATTTTATAGTTAACTTTTTTTATATCATGAGATGGCAAACGAGCAAGCGGATACCTGAAACCGTCGAAATGACGAAGCCAAGCTGTCCATAGACATCCGTAAATTCTATTAACTAGTCAGAATTATGCAAATTAAACAGAATCAATAGCCGTAACTCCATTGTTTGAAAGTGGTTAAAACTTAATGCAGACTGTAAACAAGTACACAATAATATGCGTTCTCTTCTTTCATCGAATATATTAATTTAATTCTGGGGTAAAAAAACAAGTTAAAATCTTCATAAAAATTGTTTGACCTCAGCCTAAACGTGGTCGAATTTGAACCTGTAACTTTAACACTTTCAACTAGTCGTTTATCAAATTCTTTTCCCGGATATCATTCTAGAAATTGAAAAATCCAAACATGACGTAATTTATTTTATACATGAAAAAAAAAACACACATAAATTTCCTAAAAGTAGTGCTAACATTAATGTTTACCTTCCAATTTGCTGCTACCTATAATTTTAAATTACTATTCTTGGAAAAAAATTATCGCACTTCGCTTATATAACGCTGAATCGATAGTTTTCTCATCAGAATAGTTTCTGATGTTCCACAAGATGGCTAAAGCGTTCATACTTTTTGTAGGTATCTGTGCCTACGCTGTCCAAGGATCTGTGCTCCGAAATGAAGGTATAAACTTGTAATAAACCTTGCTTACGAATTTGAACTAGTAATCAATACAAAGAGTTTTAGAAGAGTAATTAAGTTTTTGATTCCATTTTTAGTTTTTAATTTCATTATTAACAGTTAATTAATATATAATATGCAATGAATAAAATGCAAAATAATATGCATTATATATTGCAGTTTTATATCACCAATTGTTTTCATTTTTTTTACTATCCCGTATGTAATTTTCAGACGCAGTTTTAAAACGTCAAACTCGCTCTCCGTGTGATGAATGCGACTCTCCTGGAGTACCAGCGCCGCCCCCTCCGCCGCCGCCCCCACCCCCGCCAGGTATACCGCCCGTCTTTCATACAGAACAATGGAGCGGACTGACTCATAGCAATGGTGGACAAGGAGTGTTCAGTGGTGCCGCAGCTTCCATAGACGGAGGCACACAAACTGGAAGTCATGCATTCTCCTTAGCGTCTGCCACTGGCGGTGACGGTGAAAAAAAAGGAAAAATTGCACCAGAGTTATTAAATAACCGATTTGGTTTCGACAAAGATTCTGATAGTTTTGGTCAATCATCAGGTGGCGCCTTCGGCGGACAAGGCGTCGGATTTGGCGGCGGTAAGAAATTTAGCGGCAGCAAGAGCAGTTTTAAGGAATCTCATTTCTCGATCCAAAGCGGGGACCTACAATTTGGAAAAGGCTTTGGTTTCAAAGACGGCGACATCTTCCATCATCAACAATTTTACAAGCCCGGACATGGTCTTCGAGGTTTTGATGGAGCCAGAAATATTCATGGAGGATTCGGTGCTGGATCTTCATCGCAAAGCTCTTCCTTTTCTTCGAGTGGTAGCAATAACGATGATTCGGGAGCAATCCAATTCGAAGGCCAAAATTCTGAAAGAGGAGATCTGAATACTCAATTCGGTCATTTACATTCTGGATCAGGTTTTGGTGGAAGTTCAAGCAGCGCCAGTAGTGCAAGTTCTGCATTTTCCGGAAACCAGCAACAACAACTACAATCTGGATTCGGAGGCGGAGTTCAAGGTTCCGGTTTCGGTTCAACGGGACGACTTGATGGTGGAAGTACAGGATATGGTAGCCAGAACGCTCAATTTAGTCACTCTGGATCTGATTATCAGTCGTTCGGTAAAAGCGACGGATTTTCTTCGAATGAACAGCAACAACAAAATTTGCAACAAGGATCACAAAGAGGATTTGATTCTGATGGTGCTAGTGGACTTCAACAGTCTGGCTTTGGTTCAGGAGGTCAGTTTGAAAGTGGAAGCTCTGCCTTTGGTGGTCACTCCCACAACTCCCACTTTGGACAATCAGGATCAGGGTACGGCCAGAGCAATGGATTCAAAGCTAACGAACAACAACAACAACAAAACGATCAATTCGGGCAATTACAGTCCGGATCAGGTTTTGGGGCCGGAAGTGCAAGCAGTGCAAGCTCATCATCCTCTGGAAACCAACAACAACACCTTGGATCGCAGACAGATTTTGGATCTAATGGCGGAAGCCAAAGTCAAGGCGCAGGGTTTGGCGTATCAGGTAAACTTACAGGAGGGAGTACTGGTCACTATGGACAACAGGAATCAAGCTTCAATTCATTCGGTAAAAGTGATGGATTTGAGGATAACGGACAACAACAACAACAACTGCAGCTTGGATCACATACAGGTTTTGAATCTAACGGTGGAAGCCAAAGTCAAGGCGCTGGATTTGGCTCATCAGGACAACTGTCAGGTGGAAGCTCAGGAGGCCAATACGCGCAGCACGGATCAAGCTCCGACTCCTTCGGGAAAAGTGAAGGTTTTATTGATAACGAGCAACAACAACAACAGCAGCAGGGATCACAGTCAGGTTTCGAAACAGCTGGAAGTCAAGGAGGCCTTGCATCTGGATCAAGTTCTTCCAGTTCAAGCCAAGCTAGTGGATCATCTGGAAGCTACGGTGCTAATCAACAAGGGCAGAGCGATCTTCATACTGGTATAGGTGGAGCTCTGCAGCTCGCGGCGCAAGGCTTGAAACAAGCTCAGGAGCAGAACAGCGGTTGCAGCACTTGTGGTAAAAGCAGTTACGCTCTTAGTAACGCAAAGAGTCACAGCGGGTCAGCTATTGCCCTCTCCGTAGCAGGTTAAAGCGTACGAACGAAACATTGAGAAATAATTGATGAAATTAAATTATGTTTGTTGAATTTTATAATATTTGAATACATGTATGTATTTTTTGTAAACTTCCGTTTTCTTTTATTTTACCCGACTTTTTTTCATCAAAATCATTGATCAATCAAAGCAATACAATGATCAAGATTACAATATTAGACATCGACACCAAATAACGAAGGGTCAATTAATGTAATTAGTACTCTATCACAATCTCATATATTATTGGGTTACTAATAAAGAGCCCAATAGTCTAATCAAAACTCCAAAACTCAAATTGTAATTAGACGTATCATTTATCAATAACCTCTCAAAATTCCATGAAAAATCAGCATGAAACGTAAATACGCGTTAAGCTGAAAAACTGTTAAGAAGGTAAAAGTCTAATCAGTGTCCATTTAAGCAAATATAAGCAACCAGACAAGAAGGAACGTGGTGGGAAAAATGTACTTATTTTCATTAAAATGATCTAAACGGTTTTTTGAAATCAAACGAATTTTCAAAAATTCTTAGCAAGTGTTTTGTTTCCACTGATGTACAAAAGTATATTAAGAAAATACGAGTAGATAACAATTTGTCTTTTTTTCGAAAGAGAACGAAAGACACAATTTTAATTTTTTGTCCAGCAGTATTTTTGCTTTGGAAACACTTAAGTAACACATAAGTCATAGGTTTTGTTTATTAACACTTCCTTCATTTGTTATCGAAGTTTGACGTTAGTTCCAGTAAGTAACATTCACGTGAGTTCTATTGTAATTCATTTTTATCTAAATGCATATATTTAAAAAAATATTTGTACCTCTACGAGTGATATGGCGTCATAACGGAATGAGCTACAATTCCATTGTTGGAACATTCGTCTAAAACATATTGTCATTTCCCTGATTTTCCACCTAAAAACTGGGCTAACTAATATGTTTCGGCACTGAAAACGTTCTGTCAGACAGTGAACAGGTAATTTCAATTGAGGCATTGTTTGTACGAATTTGGTTCACTTTTAACGACATTAAGTTACTTCAATAACACTTAATTTTAATTTTACGAGTACAATCACAATAACTGGTCCAGGGGACATCAGAATGATTCCAGTGAATGCTCCATCCTATTAACCCCTTCATACGCAAGGCAACGTAAATCTCCCGAAACGGATAGTACATTGTATCGCCGACGCAAGTATTCTATTCGGTAATCATCATATATGGATTTGCTACGTCATCTTTAAAATCCCATGGTCTTGTTGACGTACAAGTTGAAACAATTGATTGCTGATGGCAGATAGAAATGTCAACGACGTTGTTGAAACCTCTTTTATATTGTACTAGCTTTCGCACGCGATTCCGTCCGCGTTAACCTTAAAAAAAGTATGTAGCCTTTGTGATCATTCAGAATATGTTCTACATCTATGCCAAATTTCATCGCTATTCAGCAGTTTTGGTTACAAAGTCTAACAAACGCATATATAATATTAATAATATTGCATAAGTCGCTTAGCGATTGAAATCATTAAGATTTTATAAATAACATAAGTCTGTGTACGAAGAACCTTACATTCATTATTTATTCTTAGAAAAATATCATTTGCTACCTTTTGCCCGAGATTCCGCCCGCGTGAAATTTAAAAAGAATAATGAAGGAATGAAACAATACAGCCTATGTTACTCACAGATAAATTACCTTTTTAATGGTGAAAGAATTTTAAAAATTGACCCAGTAGTTTTTGAGCCTATTCATTACAATCTGACAAAGTTTTCCTCTTCATAATATTAGTAGAGAAAAGACAACATTACGTAACCTAATTAGCGTCAAGAGTGTTCACATGATAACTAAGTAATTCCCCCGACTTTGCTTTGATTTCACACATAACATATATGTCGACACGATTTATTATCACCTTTGTACGAATCAGGAACTGATACTCGCAGTTTTCGGCGAATTATTTGTTTATATAAGATGGGTATAAAATTTATAACATGTTACAATGTATGTCATTAGGTGTAAGGAAATGGCGGGGAGAGCTGTACTGTTCGCTTTTCTTACTTTAGTCGCGTACACTTTAGCTGAAGTGCAAAGTAAGTATGAGATATTTAGGTTAATTAATGTAAAATAATTGTGAAAATCGATTGATAATACTAGTATTTGTAACAATGTTCGTGAAGTAAACAAGTTTTCTTTTGTTTTTTAAATCAAAAGACTTTACTGATGGAAGTCTAAATTTCTAATAAGAAATTTGAGTCCTTAGCGATTGTAATTGCTTTTCAATAGAAGTTAATACTGTCTTTTACTGTCATTTATACTAACATTTTTCAGATGATGAAACCAGGATAAAACGCTCCCCGCATTACTGCGATTACCCTCCACCTCCACCTCCCCCACCGCCAACTCCTCCGCCTCCACCACCTCCTCCATTCGGTCCACCTCCTCCACCTCCTCCACCTCCACATCCTCCACCACCTCCTCCACGTCCTCCAACGTTCTTCTGGTATCATGAATCACCAATAATGCCAAATTTGCCACGTCACGGTCCCATACAATGGCAGGCATTCATTCAGCCGCAACCGACGAATGAACATAAGAACAGACTTGTACAATATGAAGCTCAGAATTCACAGGCCGATCAAGGATATGATCAAAACCAATTTGATAACAATAATGAACCATGTGAGAAATGTGGTAAGAAGAATACGGCGGTCAGTAACGCTCAGAGTGAGACCGGTGATGCGGTCGCTATCGCCATTTCTAAAGGCAGCAACCAATAGAGTGACAACGTGTGCAAAATACGAATCGAGTTCCTTATATGATATTGCTAAATGGATTAGAGTATAGTTGAATTGTTACAATTACACGTATTTTTAAGATAAATCTTGTTTGTTTTTTATTAATTTACTGAATAAAATTTTAATTTATTGTTTCGATATCAGATAACATTAAAACCAATTAAAAGCACATAAATAAATTATGAATGAATATTCATTGGTGGACAAATCTGGTCAAAATTTTACACGTTATTTTTATTTTCTTATGAATAAATTTAAATTTGAAATTGGAACCAAGAGCAACGGCGTTGTTAGACTAATTAACCCTAAAATAGTCAAATGTTCGCATTTTCTGTGGTTTAATTCATTTACCTATAATTGTCGTAAACATATATTTTCTACTAGCTTTCGCCCGCGACTCCGTCCGCGTGAAGTTACGGAAAAGTAAGTAACCTATATGTATGTTCTTCCAGATTATCCTCTATCTAAGCCAGCAGCATTTTCAGCAGCTTAGGCTACAAACTCTAACAAACGTCCATCAATCTAAGCATTTATATTATTAGGTACTAGCTGTTCCCCTGCGGATTCATCCGCGTGAAATTATAAAAACTTTATTTTATTGTTTATATAATATTTGTCAAATGTCAAAATTCAAATGCACAAATGACATGACATGATTACAAACTATGGCAATCTTACTTCTTCGATGTGTGCAGCTTGTACTTTATGGTCCCTTCCCCACATTAGGGTTTTTATCCAAAATATTTGCCCCCTAAGTTTAATGGCGTGAAAATATATAGCCTAAAGCGTGACGAAAGTGTAGGGCTTTTTATTAAAAAAGAATTATTCAAAAATATGTTGTAATTGCTGACATCTTAGGCAACAAAGAAGTGTGTGTTTACGCTTTATTAAAATAGTATATATTATGATTATACGTGTAAACTTAAAATGTTAACAATTTTGCCAATGCGCGGATTAAGTTGATTTCACTTATTTATTATTCCAAATAGTGTTATACCGTTACAACTTATCTTGACATTGTAACCTTTTAACATCTTACGCGAAAAAACTTTAAATCGTTCTTTATCTATTCTTTAGTGTTTGTTATTTACCAATTAGCGTCTTTTCGATGAAACTAATCACAAAATACGGTTTAGGAAGCCGTTAGCTTAGAAATCCGGCAAAAAGTGGTGGAAATTTTAGATTAAAATTTAAAAATAGCTGTATTTCAAATTAGTCTACATTATCGCTGAATTTATTAAGACAATATTTATAATATTTATTCTCTGATAATGTTAGTTTTTTGGAATTGTCCACATTTTTAAATTATGTTACATTACCATAACAAAAGATTTAGTAAATAATCGTGTAAACTATTGATCGAACACTTTAGCCGAAGTTAGAAACCGCTTGTTTTTCAATATAACTTTGCATACAAATCACTCCATTTCTTTGGATTCTGATGAAGCAGGGTGTGGTTTTTATAAATTTATTGACTTGTCTAGAGTTTGAAAGGTTACAACTAGGAAATAAACGCGGTAAAGGTGAACTACGTGAAGCCAAAGAGACTATGAATTTGAACCTAACGTTTGCTGTATTTTTTTTAGTCTATACTATTATAATATAGCGTAAACCCACACTTCTTTGTTGCTTAAGATCTCAGCAATTACAGCATATTTTTTAATAATTCTTTTTTTAATAAAAAGCCCTACACTTGCGTCACGCTTTAGGCTATATACTTTAACGGCATTAAACTTAGGGGGTAAATAATTTGGATGAAAACCCTAACATGGGAAAGAGACCATAAGTTGCTGCCAACATCAAGGAAGTAAGGTTGTCGTCATGTCATGTCATTTTGACATTTGTAATTGATAATTTGACAAATGTAAACAATGAAATAAAATTTTCGTAATTCCATGTGGATGAAGTCGCACAGGCACAGCTAGTAGTAATTATAAAGTGGTTGTGGAATGTTTCTATTATAAAGTATTTAAGTAACTGATTTGTATAAATTAACTAATAAAACTTCATAAATGCGTTTTTTACTTTTTTTATTTAAAGTAAAAAACTTTTTACATTTTCGGGGTTACAGTGTTGGCCGGCACACCCGTATAGGCAACAAAACTACTCACCTCCATATGTGGTCAATTTGCGGTTTTGGACATTTGACATTCAAATATATCACGGACTTTGTGATGCTTATTTCCGTAAATCGTTTAAATTGATAATTTTATATTCAAATTACAGATTTAGGAATAATTATAGAACTGTTTTCACGCAGAAGAAATTTAGAAAACTAGCTGTTCCTTTGCGGCTTCATTCGCATGACAACATAAAAAAAATATTTTATTGTTTACATTTTTCAAATTATTAATAGCAAATGTCAAAATGACATGACATGACAAAGTTCGGTAATCTTGCTTCTTTGATGTTGGCAGCAACTTATGGTCTCTTTCCCACATTAGGGTTTTTATCCAAAATATTTACCCCTAAGTTTAATGGCGTGAAAATATTTAGCCTAAAGCCTGACGTAAGTGTAGGGCTTTTTATTAAAAAAAGAATTATTAAAAAATATGGTGTAATTGCTGACATCTTAGGCAACAAAGAAGTCTGTGTTTACGCTTTATTATAATAGTATAGATAAGTGAAGAACCTAATATTTTCGCAAAACTTTAATTATTCCGAGTATAACTTAGCGTTACACAGTACTCGAAAAATAATCCCTGACTGTAAATGTATGAATGTTAAGATTTTATTTTAACTTCTTGAAACACTAAATGCGGTAAATGCAAAGAAATGCGAAATTCTTTCCCAAGATAAGGCTAATAACAGTTTGATCATTGAAGATTACAATATCTTTAAGCTGCAATGAAAAGGAGGAATCTGTTATTTTCTTCTTAATCATAAAAGAAACCAGTCTGTTGTCATAATGTCAGAATTACATCACATGCTGATTTAAACAAAGTTCAATGACCTCCTTGTAGCACTCTTTGTAGTTGTAAAAGAAAAAAAAAACTATAAAATGCCGGCACTACTTCTGTATTCAAGAAACAACAATCTTGACATATTTATTATCTATTCTCTTACTTTACTGCTTCTCTTAGTACAGATTTCTTGGTAACGCTTCAAATGGAAATTGTTAAGTTTAGTATTTGGTTTAGATTTTCAAATTAACAGACTTTTACGGTATTTACGTAGTCCCCGAAAGTTTAATGTTGATATTATAGAAATGAAACGAATTAAAACGAGAATTTTATCGCTTCTTATCCGATTTCTTTTGGTTGCTTTATCGTGACTGAGTTGTCAGTGTTGTGATTGCCTTGAGGCATTTACAGATTCATCGGGCTTGAAGTGACCGAGCGGAGAGCATAGCCTAAACCTCGTTTATGAGTAACTAAGCTCGAGGGTTGCATCAGGAGCCTCGGCTCCGGCTTTAAAACTATTATTATTACGTTGAAATTTGGTATAGATATAGAGCATAGTCTGGAAGAATACATAGGCTACTTACTTTTTTATATAATTACACGCGGATGGAGTCGCGAGCGAACGCGTGTATTAATATAAATTAAGCGAATATAAAATATCTACCATTCCCTAGTTTTAAAACAAAATTAATGGATGTATTTTGATCATTTGTCTTCTATGCAACAATAATTTAGCCGCTGTTTTATTCAATTTAGGAAATTTATGGCACAGGTTTTTTGGAAAAATTTATACCTTGTATTTATGCATTTACATTTGATAATATTAACTAAGTTTTATCAGATATAGAAATCTACTAATACAAAATCTTATGTTAAGCATTAGTTTATAATGATTAACAAAACATAATTAAGAAAATTTTATCTTTCATAAAGCTATAATAAAAATCACGATACAGCCTGCGCCTAGTGCGAGGGTACTGATCACAACATATAAAAAAAATCTACTATAACCATAAACTATATTTTTTGATTGATTGTTAGATTTAAATAAATCATTTTTCATTTTTCCTACGTAGTTAAAAAGATAACTAAGTTTAAATGAACATTTTTTAAATTACAAGCTAGCAAACAAGCAAGCAAGCCAGAACTAGCAGATATATCGAAGAGACACTTGTCCATAGATATCCGGAAAAGTAGAAGAGTTGTCTACTTTTTACTGACGGAGAACTACGCACATAAAGTAGACATTTTTCCCTTCTATCTAAGTCTATCAAAATTAAGTATCTTTTTATTGTGTTATAGTTAAGCAATCTCTTCATATAACTAGACAGATATTAATTATCCATTGAAAACTTTTAATTATAGTTAATTCATACCGAAACTTGTTTAAAACGTGTACCCAAATCGTCAATATAAAAACCTGTCTTGATCTGCATTAATAATACATTTAATATCACTTCCGAATAACCAAATAAGGGTATAGTTTTCAAATTTGCCTGATTAGTTCCGTAGGAAACAATATTTGGATGTTTCCAATGTCAAAGTGCGTGGGAAAAGACCTCGGTTTGAGTTATAAAAATGCTAGACAGTGTTCGAACTATAACACATTTGATAACGGAACAGTATAACATAGTAAAGATGAACTCGATAGTTTTTATAACTGTGCTAGCTAGTCTGTGCCAAGCCCTAGCTGAAGGTTGTAATTATTTTTTTTTTTCGTGTGTTAATGGTTCTACTTTCAATACTCTGTGATTTGTATCTAAATATTACATACCGTTATTTTGTTAAACGATTTATTAATTTTATTATGTTCGCGTCCTTGATTTTTTTTCTATTCATAGTATAAGTAAAAGTTGTTCCAATTAATCTTACCGTTTCTAGATTAAATAGTAGAGAACCAAATAGTTAGGTATTTCAATGTATTTTTATAGAAATAACTATAAGATGTATGGATGAAGTCATTTGTAGATGTAAAAGCGCGCAAACCTTTAACTAAAATATCGCAAAACTGTTTAGTCACGTTTCGATTCCTACGAGCTTATAGATGTACGCACACAACTCGATTTTAGTTGTGCAACTAAACAATTGAATGGGCTGCGAAACAATCGACAATCGCACAACAGTTGTGCCATAGTTTGACTAAACTAGTTTTGTGTCCGCTTTAAGATTACTTTTATTCTTTTTTCTTTTACTTGAAGACTTTCCAATGAAGCTTAATATGTTTTTTTTACAGACACTGAAGGCGCTCACACAAGAGTACCACGTACTTTATTGTTGAAGAAGAAGCTTTGTTTCATACTAGGGGTTTGCGGAGGCGGAGGCGGGCACTATGGCGGAAGCGGGCATTACAACGGAGGTCATGGATATCAGAACCAAGGATATCCACCGATAAACATCGGCATCAGTCAATCTCAATCATCAGCTAATGCTGGCGGTGGTGGTTTAGGAGCTGGTTATTACCCTAACAACTACCAATACAACGGTGGTTATCCTGGTTACAATTCTTATGGGAGACCAGGTTACTTTGGTAATGGATACGGAGGTATTAATAACCAGTTTAACGGTAACTATAACGGTGGTAATAGGAACCCTGGTTATGGTTACCGAGGACCTTTTGGTAGTTATTACGATGAAGGTGATAGTAAACCAATATATGAAGACACCAATGAGGATGGTCCAATTTATGATGGTTATGACCGTGAAGATAGAAGTGAAGCTTATAGGAATAATCAATAGTATTAATTATTACTAAATTTAACTCGATCTGTGATAATTCGACAAGATAATGTATTTGTGACAATGTTAAATGTTTCAGGAATATAAAAAAAAACCTAAAACTATGATTTTTTATCTATTGTTACTTAAATATTACAGTAATTCTTAAAAAATAAGATGACGCATTTAACGTTTAGAAAATGGTACCGAAATTGTAAATGTATAACAATTTTATTTGCATTTATACTTCCTTTCGCCTGCGACTCTGTCCGCGTGTAAATAAAATAACAACAAAAGCAAGTAGCCTATGTGTTCTTCCAGACTATCCTCTACATATATGCCTAATTTCATCGAGATCCGTTAAGCAGTTTAGGCTACAAACTCACACAAACATCCATCCATCTAAACATTCGCATTTACAATATTAGTACGATTTATCTTTTAGGTGTGTCCTAGGTGATAGTTATATTCTCTAATTTATTTCATGGGATTCGTTTTTATTTCCTTTGTCTTGTAACAAATATAAATCACTTTTTTTTGACCGACTTCCCAAAAGAAGGAGGTATTCAATTCGACGGTATATTTTTTTTTTTTTTTTTTTTTTTTTTTTTTTTTTTTTTT